AGCGCTCTCGGCGAGGACGAGCGAGGATGGCGGCGGCATCATGACCAGGTGCGCCAGCGGGTCGGGCTTCAAGGAGAGCGAGAGGGGTTGCGTTTGTTCAGTCTGTGGTTTCGAGTCTCTGGAGGGGGAGGCGAGCATGGCGGGGGAGGACGGAGGAGAGTCTAGTAAGCTTCCATCTGAAGAGGGTGGGCTGACGCAGCTGCCTTCACCTTGTATGTAGCGAACGCACTTTTTTTTTCTCCTAGAAAGAGGGAGAGAGTTGTCTGTGAATACAGGGCAGAGACGCTGACGGAGACAGTCACCCAAAGCAAAGAGCCGTCAATTAGCTACGCTGGGCTCTGCGCGGGCGGCAGCCCGGCCCCACGCGCCGTCCTGGGGGTCTGGCGGGGGGTCCTCGGCACCGAGCCCGCTCGGGAACCTCCCCTCGGCTAACAGATTTGGAAAGGATTCACCAACTGTCTCTTCGTCCCCCTCCTCTTCAGGCCGCCTCCTTTCCTTACTTTCACAATCAGAAAATCAGGGAAGACGGTTTTGGAGGCCACTGCGCTAATCTACAAACTCGACTTTCCTCCGGAAAAGAACAGATCAAAAAATTCAATCGTTCTAAAATCAAAGCTCTGGATAGTTGATGGTATCTCAAGATGTCCCACAACGCTGTCCAACTCAACGGGGCTATTGCTACACCCGCGGCACCTGCCGTCCTTACGACGCGCTGCCCTTGGGAGGCAAGGACGGCTGCAAACTACCGCTCACTGCTTTCTCCTCTGTTAAGAACCACACCAAATCCAGAAACGTCGAGAGTCAGACAGCAGGGATATATAATAGAGAGAATGAGAGAGAAGGGAAAAAAACCCAAAACAAACAAAGAAAACAGAAGAAAAAACAGGAAAAGAACAGGATAAACAGAGTGTGATCCAAAGTAACAAGAATAACTGGTTGTATGGCCTGCAGGTTGTGGCTTTAAATCGACTCAGGTTTATTTTTCGTTTTAAGGGAGAGTGGTAGATTTGGGAAGCTGCTCGTCTGCATTTTGGGGAATTCTCCTCTGAGAGGCCACCCGTGTAACTCCAGAGTGGGATCCAATTTCAGCAGGTGAAGAGCACGACGACAGGTACAAAGGTGAGGAGCAACAAGGAGCTTATTTCACACCAGGGAATATGAGAGTCTCGCAAGAGCCGCTCATCTTCAAATAAACGAGTAAGTGACCCGACAGAGATCTTTTCTCTTCCCTCTATCCACTTAATAATGTAAAGGAGCAATGAAAACAGATGACAGTTTCACACCATCTCTCTTGCCAAATATATGCAAGAAATCCTAGCAGCAGGACAGAAATGAGGCAAACAACCACAGCATCTGGCAGAACGACGTCCAGTGGCCACCCTGACCCCCGTAGTGATGGCTCTCCAGCCCTCCTACTCACAAGCACGCTTGCCATGGGAAGTGCTGACCTGCTGTTACACAAACCGAGGTGCCTGACGAAGTCTGTCTAGAGCAGCTCCACCACAAAAACCTTGGACACTCAGCTAAGCTGCACAAAGCCACCAACGTGAAGGAGTGGGGTGCTCTCCCTCTCCAGTGGACACTTCGCCCCAGCTCAGCATCTCCATCAGAGGAAGCGCCCGAGTGTGGCACAGTGGCTGAACGTTGCTGGCTGATGATGTCCCCCACCCGCAGAGGTGCCCCAGCTCCACTGCTGGTCACCAATGTTCTCTCCTATGTATGGCAACTGCAGCTGACTTGGGTTAAACCAAGGTCTGCTGTCTAGGCAAATGGGGCTAATGTTTCTCGACTGCGAGGGAGATCCAACCAGCTTGATCCTGGAGTGAAAAGATACCATCTCCCACAGCAGGAAGGGAACAGCAACCCCGGCACCCCATCCTTCCACTGGCTTCAGCGAGGGACCAGTGCTGTGACAGCCCTTCCTCCAGAGACTCAGGCTCTGCCCTCAGGTTCTGTTCCACGTTCCACATGGCAAGGTAAGGGGTTAGGGCTATTAGAGCTTTATCCACGTTAGCCTGCAGATCAATACGTGCTAAAAACTACAGACAACCATGCAACTTAAATGTTAAAAAGAAAGAAAGAAAGAAGGAAAGAAAGATAGAAGACAGCAAGTGAAGGCTGTAAACCATGCTTTATTAGAGCAACGTTAAAAGACAGAAAAAAATTAATTTGGTGGGCTCAAAACAGAACCTGTTAATTCTTCTACCATCAACAAACAACACGGGAAGCCTCTGGCTCTTGGCTAAGGACAGTTCTCCTGCTCTTTCTCCCCTCCCCTCGCCTCTCCCTCACCACTTTCTAGCTTCAGCTGTGCAACACTACCAGGGCCACAGTCCATGTCTGGACCTTCCGTACAGCTGCCAGCGGCAAGGCAGAACTGTGAGGCTTCACAAAGCTCACTGGCAATACCTGTGCAGAAAGGTGGGTTCTCACAATTAGGAGGCTGCAGGGCTTCCCCGCCATCCCCAAATTAAAATAATTTGCAAGCAGAGACCCAAGCTCTGCCTGCCTCATTGAAAGTGGTCCACAAGCCATTCAACTGGATCGCTCCGAACCTGCGAGGCAGTTCATGACTTCACTGGAGGCAGCTTGAATCTAGTATGCCAAAATTTAAAAAATATTATTTTTTAAATACTATTTTAAGTTCTGTGGCCTGAAAGGAAGAGTTCCCATGGCAAACCAGACTTAAACCAGGTCTACCTGACTTTCTGACTCTGCAGAGTGAACAATCGTTTTAATACTAAACCCACTGGTCTGCTATCTGAAGCAGTTTTCTTGTGACTGGGATTAAGGTAGCAGATTGCTTCTTCTGTTTCTCTTCTATGTCAAAACTCTTTAATAGTGTGGCCATTTCTACTTAAATGATGATGGCTCAAGGAGGGGACATTTCTCCAGTCTGTGCCACTCCCACCATGTGTTATCTGTGGTCACGTACGTGGCAGGGTTAGGTGGGACAGAAGGCATAGATGGGTAAAACCCAAACCCTGCAAACCAAATTTTACCAGAAGGGAACAACGTCAGGCAACTTCGGTGAGCGGGAATAAGTAAATATCTGAGGAAATCTTTGTGCCTCAGTTTTGTTCTCCTGAAAAGGGGAACAAAAATACATTTCCCCCCACAGAAGCACTAGTGAGGATTATTCACTTTCTTATGTGCCGCTCTGAAAGCATCAACTGCTGCACCAGTCTGGCAAACACCAACAGACCTGGTCCCGATCGTGCTGCCCTTGAAACGAGCCCCAGGACAGTGTCAGGAAACGTGTAATGCTGCAGTTGCCATGAGTGAAAGCCACAGACGATGACAAGGGTTTATTCAGTTGCTGTGAGCAAAGATGTCTCAGTTTCTACTGTAGCAGCAAACTGCACATCTTTAGCACCTACCTAAGATGTGCTACAAAAATGCTACCATGCTAGCAAATGCAATGTTATAATGGTTAGGACTAGAATGCCTCCATGCATAAAAAAAAAAAAAAAAAAAAAGGCAGCTGACCATCAGTAAGTCTAAAGCTATCGCCTACAGCACTGAGAGGTACTGCACTACTCAAAATTTCTCTCAAAAAGCTCTCTCTGATGAGCTGCAAAGACCTCTGACCAAAATCTGGCGTAAGTTAAGAGAGGGTTTATGCTTCATGTGTAACCTAAGCACTGTACAGACCGAATGAAAAGTCCCCTTGCTGATAAAATTTGGTTTTAGAAGTATGCTGTTTACTTAAGCAGCTAGGGAAAGATAAAGCAACACAAATATGACGTGCCCCTGGTTCTGGTACTTGGCACACAGAGCCTGCCATGCTTTAAATACTCTGTCTCTAGACTACACAAATTTCTGCTGATAGTCTGTAGCGAACTAACCACAGAATAAAGCCTAACTAAACACAGCATTCGAGGCTTTGGCTAGCATGAGGCTCAAGCCTCCTGACACCGTGAAATGGCTACCCAGCTCCTCTGGACTGCACCCTCCTTCCTGCAAGCTTGGAGGAACTGCTGCTTCCAAAGCCTGTTTAACATATGTACTGGTACTGGTATCTACGACCCCAACACCCGGTCCTAGCATGCCTGGAAGGGGACAATATGCAATCTGTTGAAGACATTTCTAGTGCCTGATCTGGTATTTCGACACACACCACCACCCTCGATCCGTGTTGTCCTCGACACTAAGCACAAACAAGACTGCGTGCATACACAAAATACGATGGACGTCTGATCTACATTCTAAATGAGATGGAGCACACGGGACTGGCATGAGTAAGAGGGGAAAATGTGGGAGAGGAATCACTACACACAGAGTGTGGTTTGGGTTGAAATACCTACCATCATAATATTCCAAATTCAAAGACTGCTTGTATCAGAACAAAGAAACAACAAATTTAACCAAATGCGATCATATAAGGAAAAAGGAATGAGAAAAGAACTACTTGGTATCCCTCCACCAAGAAAGAAGTACGTACTGAGTTATACATGGAATTAAACTCCAGTAGAACATGGGCTGTCAAAATTTGGGCTCTCTGATGTCTTTCATCTCCTTTTAATGCTGGAAACTGTCCTACTAAAGTTGTAATTAGTTTTGTCTAGAGCTCAGGCGTTTACAGCTCACTTGTTGGGATAAAATTTAGGAAAAAAAAGATTTCGGAATCAGAAAAAAAAGACATCAGATCATTTAAAAACACTGGTATCTACATACACCTTACTGAGGCGTAGAAGCCTACAGGTAGCTATTTGATTTTGCAGATAACACCAAAAAAACAAGTACAATACAAGCTGTAAACACTGGCTTTTACATCTCTAATCATCAGAAAAACTCTAGTGCTGCAGATCCCAGAACCTTTCTGAAAAGCCTTTGGAGGCAGCAGACATAGACCCAAATGAAGACAAAATATAGATGCCCAGCTAAACATTCATTTTGCTGACAATCTGGACAAAAATAATAAAAAAGCCAATAAACTGCCAGCTTTAAGGACTTCAAGTTTTCTTGTTCCCAGTTCTACCACCAGGGAGAGGTTATTGGTAAAGAAAGAGAGAAAATGGCATTAAATTAGCAAGAAATTCCAAAGACCAAAGATTATTAGCAATTGATGCTGTGGGAGAGAGAAAGGTGAGGAGTGGGGGAAAAAAGATTAAAAAAATAAAATCACACAAATGCACTAAGAGGACAGATTGCTTTTATTTCCCCAAAGGCCTAATGGGTAGTATTATACCTGCATGGTTTGCACCATAAACTCTGTCGGTCAAGCCCGAACAATGCCCGACACTTCTTTGGAGTATTTGCATCTGTTAGCATAAGGTAAACACAAAAAATACAACACAATGGTGGATAGAGCTCATTTGGACTGCGTCATCTTAGCTACAGCTACGTTTAGCTTTCAGTCACCTCAGTTTTATTTGGTAATCTCCCCTCGTACCAAGGGCAGGAAAGAAAACAGGACTTTCACAATGAGCTAAAATAAAACAACAACAAAAAAAATCCACCTCCGACACGGCCGTGCGTCTGTCCGGTGCTGGCACCGCGCTCAATGCCGTGTGTTACCAAGGGCTCTGGGAGCGACTTGCCTTGGGTGGAGGCTTGGAGGGCACGAGCGTGGTTGAGCCACGGATCAGATGGGCTTAAGGCTGATGCTGTTTTACAGTGGGTTTTTGGCTAGCAGCAGCAGAGAGGAAGGTGAAAAAACAACCAACAACGGAAAAAAAAAAAGAAAAAACAAAACCCTTTCAGAGAGATGATAACTCATGGCAGTGTCCCACTCCCTTGTGTCTTCCAGATCACAACACAGAGCTACAAAGCAACAAGGCAGGAAAAAAAAGGGGAAAGTACCAAATAAACCAGCTGCAAATCAGCCATAGCGAGTCTGGGAAAACTATACACACCTGCAGGGGCCGCACCAGTTATTCTGTTGATCAAGGCCAAAGCGCGCTCGGCATTTCTTAGGAGCGCTCAGGTCTGAATGAGTTCAAGAAAAGCGAGCAGAAAAGAGAGAGAGGAAAAAAAAGAAAAGGGGAGAGGGGGGAGAGAGAGAGAGGAAGAGAGAAAAGGGGAGAAAAAAAGAGAAAGATAAAAATAAGGAAAAAATAAAAATAAAAAAGGGAATAAAAATCAATGTCCTCGTTATTAATTGCAAAATATTGACTTTTGATTTAAAAGTTAAAAAAAAGTGATAATCACATTTTTATTCAACTCTTGAGATTAGCTGTTGCAATTAAAGCTGCAGTATCCCTTTATAAAGGACTGTTTCTTTCCCTTTTAAAAGAGCAGGTAGAGGAAAGTCATTGTGGCTGGTCTAGCAGAATGTTGTTTCAGGCAAGATTTATTTGGGCTGGGTTTTTTTATTCTCTTTTTTTGAGAGGGGGAGAAAAAAGGAAGAAAAGAAGCTGAGTATGGAAGTTAGATCCTAAACATGCTTTTTTCTTCAACTCAGATACAAAATAAAAATAAGAGGAAAAGAAAAAAAAAGGAAATTATATCTCCTGGGATAATGCAGCTTTTGGAATACCATTCAATTTCTTTGTTTTTATTAATTTGTATTTAAAAGAATGGATAAGAATAAGCAGATTGCGGGATGAGTATGTTAGTATCAGCCAGAAAATAAAACGTAAAGCATGGCAAGGTGCTGAGTTAGTACAGCTAGTGAACTGCAATGAACAGGCTTGAGCAGAAAGGAAAAAAAAAAAAAATCCAAAACTAAAATAATAATTAAAAAATGCGTATGCATGCTGATGTGAGAAGACTTAGTGGGAGCCATGAAAAATGCCATTAGATTAAGGAGGTTCATTACTGACTTGCTTCCATTCTTTATCAGTCTCTTTAAAGAAATACTGCATATTCAATTTGCACAGTTAGTACAACTCTTGCGTTATTTTTACCATATTACTGTTTTAATAGCAATTGTTACGAAAACGAAAAACAAAATTAAAAAATACTATCAAACATATAATAAAGATATATAGATAATAAACACTATCAAAACGTGTGGATGGTATTTTTTTCTTAATGTCATAAGTGTTTAATGTTAAAATCTATAATGGCAAAAAAAAAAATTAAAAAGCAGTTTATAAACTATTTTAAATGACTCAAAATGACGTTAGCACCTGTAATCGGAGGAAGTGAAAGGCAAGGATTTAGGAAACATTCGCTGTGTTCTGAAAAAAAAGAACAAATTATACAAAGGCTTCAAAAAAACTAAGTCAGGGCTTCTTCAAAATTGACTATGAGATTGCCTATGCAGTATTTCTAATTTCCTATATAGAACGGCAAACCTCCTTAATTTAAAATGGGTGCGATTTACCACTGTAAGGCATGCATCAGAACATACAGGTACAGCCCAAATTAATACCAAACACATACGTACGTACACGCACACACATGTGCAAAATAAGCAGACAACCTTATAAACGATGGCATAGGCATTACAGCTACGGCTCTGCAGTTAAAGGCTTTGGAGTCACTACGTACAAATTCAGCTAACGTCACAAGAGGCTCTTACATGCAATGGCTTGGTTACTAGTTTTAGAAGGGCAATAACGCGTAAAAAATTAAGAGTGCATTAAAAAAAAAAAAAAAAAAAAAAGGCTGTCTAGTATAGGGGCCGGCTCCCCGTGAGGCCAGGAGACTCGTACCCACCTCCCCCAAACCTAGGAGTGTCACACCAGGACTGCCACGCTTCCACTAAGCAAGGGATTTAGACGTATTTTTACTTACCATTGGTCTCTCCTGGCTGCTTATCCCTTTTCCTCTTCTTCTTCTTTCCCTGCAGGAAACACACAGAGATGAGAAGGATTAAAAAAACCCCAAACCAGGTCTCCTTGGAAAGATGGCACCGAGCGACGGGACTGCGGCCGGTGCGGGAGGACACGGGAGCGTGGTGCTGGCTCACCCGCAGTGCAGGGAGTCTCTGGGGGGCCCCGAGGGGACCCTGCACCCTGGGGATGGCCCTGCCTGCCCACCCCTCAGATGGCCTCGCTGCAGCCCCCCCAGCACTGCCACCCACCAAAGCCATAAGCAGCTAGGGAGGGGGCAGAAGCAAGATGCTTCTTTTGAGATAAGATCATCATGACAACAAACTTTGGCACTTGTATGCTCCTGCTCCAAAAAAACATTTGTGGTCACGTTTTGAGGGGCGGGGAGGGGAAGAAAAGGCAACAGCAGAGACTGGAGGTGGGAGAGTGCATGAGTGAGGTCAGACTGAGCCCCTGGAGTTCCTCAGAACCCAGAATCGACCATTAACGGAGATGAGGAAGCCCCAGTAATTGAGCAAATCCTAACCTGCAGGTTTATAAGCGCTCTGACAACCTAGGAAACGAAGCCAGGAAAAGAAAAAAACCGGATATAACTAAGACCCTTCCCACATTTTGCTCTACCACAAGGAAAACCACCAGTAATATTTTTCCAGACTGCACCCCTTTCCCAAATACTGTCCAACAAGGTGACGTGATTTGTTGCAGCTTCTGACCGGAGGGAGCAAGGCCCTCCCTCTGTTTCCCACCAGCAGCGTGGGAGAGGACATGACCAGGACCCCAGCTTCTGTGGAAACCCAGTAATTGCTCTCCAAGAAAAGAGTTGTAAAGTGATAAGCATGGCTCAAAAGAGAAAAAAGCTGTTTTCACAGAAATATCTTCTAACACTGAGCTACAGAGGTTGCAGACCAGTACAAGAAGGCCATTGCAGGGGACAGAGCCATTTCATTTTCACAGCTCCCCATATGGTAAAAGCAACGGCTTTTGGGCCAGCAATGTCAACTGTGAACAGCAGAAGAGATCCCGGCTTTTGAAGATGCGGTAGTGAGAGAAGTTGGTGAAAAGACATCAGACCAGCAGTCCCTTGTGTTCAAGGGGGAACAAACACCTCTTGGAAGAAGGAATCTCACAGCACTTTTGAAGGGCTGGACATACCTGTGGGGAAGCCAAGAGGTTCTACCACATGTTGGACACCTTTCTCACCAGGTTGGTCTGGCTCTCAGCTAAATGGTTAAGATGGGCTTCAGCTTGGCACATCCACTACAACATCTGGGAGACACTCACTATGATACGTTCCCTGGAATGTATTAGTGAGAAATTCCCCCACCATGAATGTTGGGTTTTGATTTGTTGTTGTTGTCTTTTTCTGACTCAAAAGCCAGCTTTCTGGCATGGGCTTCCATCCTCATTCCCCCTTGCTTGCTCTGGGTTGTGAACTGCCGCCCTGCTGTCCAGGCTGCAACAAGCATGGTCTTGTTCACAAGAGCCTTCCGGTGATGGAAAAAGCTGTCCATTTTAAAGCATTTTAAAACAACATGCACATAATCCTGTAGCCTGGATGCTGCTGAGAAATCATCTCCCTACACCTCTGAGGTCATTTCTGGGGATATGGAAAGCTGTCCCTCTGAGTCAATTGCTACAGCAGCCATCAGTCTAACATGACAGGCAGACAAGATAGACTAGCATTGCTCCTAAAGCTCTCTGAGAATAAAATAGGGAAAAACGTGGTATCTTGAAGTTCACGTATCACATAAAGATACAAGAGGCTCAGACTCTGCTCCATCTATATTGATCTAGACTGACAGTAACTCCCTGAAAGTCGGTGAATTTTTTCCAGCTTTACAACAATGTAACCAAAACCAAACCACTGCCTCAGGACCACAAGCCTGATTTTTATTTAATCTCAAGGAGGCCACTTGCATAATTAACACACTGCATCTTGCCGCAAATTTGCTTAATTTTTGCAGTACCTTTGGGAATTCAAGGGCTATTCCAGTCTGAGACCTTGCAACTTCTTCACACGAGGGCCAGCCAGAACAGAGGTCAGGAGTCAGCTGCCCTTTACAAACTGTTCAAGCCAGGTATTAAAGTATTATAACCCCTTCAGGGAGCAATCTGTTAAAAATGGCTGACATACAAGAATGTCAGCCAGGGACCAGGCATTTCTGGTTCCTTTTCAACACAGGCTTTGAAAACTGTTCCTAACAAAGAACTGACAGAGGTCCCACTACCTTCTTTTACACTCTTATCAAAGGCAATAGGGAGAAGAATCACCTGGCTTGCTTGTTCAATTTCTGCACTATGGGAAGATATTCGATTACGTAGCTAAATTAATACATGGACTTCAGAAAAGAAGTGCGGTAGCAGTTTGTAAAGTGCTTGGTAGAAGACACCATTTTGCCTTTGCCTCTGATTGTCCTTCTAAGACTTGAGTGGATGGTCTGTATCATTTTCCATCATTGTACTATACAAATTCTTAGGCTGCAGGTAAATCCTTGCTAACCATTTTGGCAGGTCCCTCTACAGAGCCAAACCAACACGGGTTTTGACAGGACTGCGGAGTTCTTTGGTACTATTTTTCTAGGTAAGTGGCAGGCGAGGTGACTAGACCCTTACGTACTCCTGAGTCCAGCACTCAGCACTGCTTAACATCTTACATTAGATCTCAGGAAAAGCAAATGTGCCTTGTGACACCAACAAGACATGAGGGATTCCCTGAACCCTCTCCTCTTATTTAAGAGCAGGCTGAAAGCTGCGTTCCTTGAATGTACTGCTCCTACTTCTGAAGACCTGAGCTAGAGCTGACCCCATCCCTGTGCCTGATGTCAAGTGCCTGACGATTTAACCATTCCAAACAGCCCAAACGTGCTCCCCCTCTAGGTGCGTGAAGGGCTTGAGACCCTACAAAACGCCGAGGGAGGAGGGGAACTCTGAGACCTTTGAATGGACCAGGAGAGAAGAAATAAACCCTGCAGATGATGCAGTCGTGTGATGCAAAGGTACCGCGCGCTCCTCAGGCAGGAAGGTTCCCCCCGAAGGTCACCTGGGGGTACAGCATCAAGCTGCCAGGAAAGCGCCAGCTTTCTCATCCTGTCCTTTTTAGCTCGAGAAGAAAGGGTTTCTCAGTGCTCACACGGTGAGGACAAAAGTAAAAGGTCCTCAACACTGAAGGCTTTGTACATGCCCATCTGTCGGTGGCACAGTCGCTGTGCAGAATGAGCATTCCCGAAACCTCAGTCGAGCCTATACTCCCCCTTCTGAACACCCAAGAAGATGATACTACACAGTGCTGAGGAACTACCTCAAGCCTATGGTCTGACAGTCTCCGGCCAGACTATGCCGAAAAGAAAGGGAAAATGTGTTTAAGCAGGAGCAGTGCCTCATGGGGCTTAAGAAGGTCTCCTCTGAGGAGCATGCACAGTTACACCTGCAACGGCGAACACAGGAGGGAGCGAGGCACCGCCCATTGGAAAGAAAACATCATCAAGAAAGAAGGATTTGAAAAAATGTCCTTAAGTACATATTGCTAAATAAGTGAGCATGTGTGTTCTCCACTGCTGAAACAGTGGGAGAGTGTAGAGAGCTGCTGCTGCTCTAGGCTTCGCTGCAGACTCTGAACTGGCTTCTTTCCATCCACACATGTAAAAGCGCACATTTCTCATAGAGGTAAACATTGCCCTATACAAAGCACTGAATTTATGTGATTTACGGCAAAATAGGGTATTTATGGTAAAACAGGCAGTGATGATGACGATGATGGCAGAGGCAGACTTCAACAAAACTAAAACACATAACACTATACATAACTGACATCAATCTTACAGCTGCTGGTCCCCAAACCTGCAGGGAAGTCTGCCTGGAAGGCAGGGAGCAGGGTTTTATCCCAGAGTTAAGAGACCTGGTAAGTCCTAGGTGATTTTTTATTTAAATTTTCCAAAAAATAATCAAGATGCTGCTATAATCCTATTAAAGAGGGTTTAGAGCTCCCACAAATCTGTCCAGGATTTATGGGTTTAGGCTTGCAAACACTTACTACCAGATGCACCACTTATCCTTCATAGAAGAAGGGGTTATACACTACTAGTAAGTGTCTTTAAGAGACAGAAAAATCTACCACTTTGAGCTACAAAACAGGCTTCCTGAAAGGCGGAGAGGGGAATCAGTCTGAAAAAAACTCCATGAATTGATCACAAACTCCAAAATACCTTTTAAAAAATGAGGAGGGGAGGGGAAAAAAGATAACATGGCCATGAAAAAGCAAAACATAATTGCAATATACAACAGTAGAGCGTGGAATAATTAATTTAACCCCACTTGAGAGTAAGACTTTCAAACAAGTCACACTTTTGGTTTTGCCAGTCCTTCTCTGAAGCCAGGATAAGTCATTCTTCCACTTTCCACTATACTCTCACACAGATAAGCACAAGACACTAATTATTCATCTTTTTGGTGGAAAGAGAGGAGCCATACCAGGCGAATTTTTAATTTTGCTTTAAAAAATGAAATTTAAAATGACCAGCAAGCCAAACAGCATTTCCAAACTCTGGTAAAAGTGGAAGCAAGAGTTTCTTCCCAGAACTCTACTGTCATGCCCCAATTCTAGCCTTGTGCTAGTCCCAGCCAGGAAGCCGCTCCCCAGTGGAGGGCTGGGAATTATCCTCAGTAGCTTTAGTATCACAGAGGAAATGTTGTTGTTACCAGGTTGGGATCCTGAGGCACGCTTTCCAAGTAGTGCTTGTGTGCAATGTGTGGTCGTAGTGCAGCAGGTCACATATACATTTCTACAAGCTCTACTACTAAAAAAATTTCCACCTACATAGGAACCTACATAGTTATCCCGTGCGGACCAGCCCGGGTACAGCTGCATATGAAGCTGTCGTTCCTTTCTTGCTAGTTCATAGTATTTTGCTTGTTCTTCTCTGGATAACGCGTGCCACTGAGGTGAAGAAAAGAGAAAAAGACAAAATAAAAAGCACAAGTATTTTTTTTAAAGTGAGTTAACAGCAGAGTATATTATTTATATATAAATAAAGCTAGAGTTGAGTTTCATAAAAAAAAAGATAAAAACAGATGATTTGGCATGCTGCCATTCATATTTTATTTATATCTCCAGATTATAAGTCCAGTTAACTCAATGGAGTCACAACTAATCATTTACGTTCACTCAGCCCTGCTGTTTCCTGATGAGAGAGGAGAATTAAGAAAACGAAACACAAAATAAAGAGCAGGTGAGAGGGTCCAGAAGCCGAACCACTTGTCGAGGTCTCCCCCTCCCTTCCCCACCAGCATCCCCTCTCCTCTTCTAGCTCTCCCAGGTGCTGATACTGGTACCGTACTTCCCAAAGGATTTGTCATTTCCCATTTACTTTTCTGCCTGTTTCTAGGACAAAACAAGAAATCTGAGGTGCTTCCCAGGTCCTGGAAACAACATTGAAATCACACTGTCATTAATTAACTCCCCCCCCCC